TGGAGAGGAAGAAGGCCTGTGTGTGGAAATTGTGGTTTTACAGTCTGGACTGACAAACAAATTGTTTGTTGGAGCATTTAAGAATTGTGGTTGTTTAAATTAATATATTTTTTTTTCGTAATTTTAACTGAAAGAATCTTTGTCCTTCTCTTTTACAGTGTAAACTTTACGTGAGTCAATGCGCTTGTATAAATATCATCCTTTATTGTCCCAACCTCCTCGGCTCCACTGTCCATTCTACACCAACTTTATTCTCAAATATTTTTCTTTTCCTACTTGTTTTTCTCATAGATAATGATGCTGATTTGGAGTGTTTCCAAAACAGTGAGGTCTGATATTAAATGGTTAATAAATATTCTATTGAACCAATCTTGTGGCGCGATTGTAGGAAGTGAGATTTAAGGGAAAACTGAGCTGAACCCTTAGCTGTCTTGTGGATTTAATTGGTATGGAATCTGTCCTATTATTTGACTAATCATCTACTTTGTCCAAATCTATTTGGTTAAGTCAGTCCATGTTAAGTGGGACAATATCCTACATTGAAAGAAATAACAAAAAAAATAAAAAAGAGTTAAATATAAAAATGTTATTTTTACGTATTGTTAATTTTGATTAATTTTGAGAATGTGCTAGTAGCCAAGTGATTACCATCTTGTTATAAAAGATTTCTTATGTTATTTTTTTTTGTTTCCCGCCCGGTATCCGAGGCTTCACTCTGATTAATCCGAACCCGACCCGCGTCGCACACCTGAAAATAATAGGTAAGTTTCCCAGCGATAACTGTTACGTACACAAGGTCTCGAACTCGAAACCTTACTTAAGCTGGAACAAGCCGCTTACCACTTGATCCAACCCCTCATTGGTAAATTTCTTATGTCATAGAGGTGTAAGTTTTAAGTTTCACCCCAAAGTTAAAAAAGAAAAATTAGTTAGTTTTAATTTATATGTAAATTTTGTAGTGAACTCATGTGTGAAAATTAATCTTCACGGTATAGCCACTGCCATTTCACCAGTACAGAATCCAGGTGTCATTTATGAACATGGTTTAAGGTGTGTAAATGTACCAACCAAACTCAGCAACAGCATAAATCAGCAAAGCTGAAACTTCACTTTTTTCGAGTGAAAAACAGTTTTAGTGCATGCAAGAACAGCAGTGACAGAACTGCTACTAATAAGGTTACAATCTGTGAAAATGATAAAAAACAAAATTAAAAAAGCATGCCAATGTTCACTGGCTACCATTCTCGTTTGACATTTTCCACTTGCTTTCACCAGTTTTGGGTCAGGTGCAAGTCACAACAATCTAAGTACATAAGTTCTGAAAGCAATGGAGGGAGTGAAAAGAAAGAAATTAATTGACTGATGATGAACAAGGATAGTTAGCTTCATCTTTTCGCACAATCCTTAGCCGCTTCACGCATTCTACAAAATCCCTGAAAGATTCAAGTTTCAAACACGGAGTTTGCATTAATAACATATCTAATGATCAAGAGAGAAATTGCCAGTTTTAAAGTTTACCTCCATGGAACATCACCAACGGTCCTCCAATTTTCCTCCCTGTCCTTGTAAACCAGGGAGAACTCAGATCCAGATTGGAACAGTCTTAACCCAGATTTAGTTTGCCTTCCTGTCATCAACAATTCAAAACCATGTTACTAGTTTCCAAAATGGAAGATCACAATGTTTGCTGGAATTTAATTTCTATCCTACCAAACATGTCTTCCAGCTGCATTGCGAAGCTTGAGTATCCATCATGATCCAGCATGCAGACTTTTCGACCAACCACAACACCATCCATATTCACCTTGACATAAACCCACCTCTCTTTGCTTTGCACCCCCTCCGCCTCTTCATCACAATCCTCGGCCACAAGCTTTGAATACCTGGTATTCAAGTTTTTCATCTCTGGATTATCCTGAGGCCAAGCTATCAGGTCGTTGTATCCCTCCAGGCTCACCGCTGAGATCATTGGAAAAATCATTACCAAACAGAATGAGAAAAAGGAAAAATGTTTGCAAAAAGGAGAAAATTACATAGAAAATGCTCACTATGTCCAGAAGGATGGTAGTCTTCCGGCTGCAAAGTTCTCAGGCTAAGTCCGAGGTCTATAATCCCATTATCTTCCTTCCCCTGGCCCTGGCAATAAACGGAGTGGAGAGCTGAAGGATTTAGAAGAAAGCCTGGTGCATTGGAATCCATCGGATTACTGATTTATGCTACCTGAGGCGCGTTGCTCTGGGGTAACTAGAGGCAGCTGCATATGTATTTATATAAAACTGGATCGGCATATCAGAACTGAATTGGAAGACAGGAAAAGGCCCTCCCATCATCAATCATTGCTAGAGTCTTATCCTTTTATGTTAGTTTGATACCATTAACATGCAACGTGTACAGAAGGAAGTGACTAAAAAACAGAAAAACAAGGGATGGCCTAGGTGATTCTAACAGAAGTTTGTTTGGATTCTGCAACCCCGCATCGCTACAAGGCTTCTGCTTTTGAGGTAGACATCCACAGTGGAAAGAAGAAGTGAGCAGGCAGCCCAAGGATAATGGGGGATCCATATCCGTTGAAGCACTTGTTTTATACGAACAAATGCATTCAGATGAAAGATAAAACTATTTCATACATAAAACTTAATGCAGTATGCCCATTCCCAAGGTCTCCCTGCTCGAACTTAATGAGCAGTCTGAGACTCTGCCTCATGTAACATTGCCGAATGCTGTTACTCTTCAAGGAGACAGTAGCTTGGTCACAAGCTGTCGTCCCACTCCACATTGCTCAAATAGCAGACCAGAGGTACAAGACACAGGAATGCATGTTTTTTGTACTTTTGATAGCTACAAGCACAAGAATAAGGTCTTCTGATCATCGCACATCACAGACGAGAGATATTGGATTCAATGGCAGATAACTGAGTCTGTAATTAGGATTGGAGAGGATCCTAGGCTTAACGCAGTCTAACTTAGTTGATAAGAACTTGAGAAGACTAGGGGTTTAAATCTACCCATCCTTTTCCTAAACAAAATTATCTAAAACAGCACTGAGTCTTCACCTCTTTTGGTCTTTGAGCACGAGAGCATCAAGAGTTCGAACTTCCAACTGTTAGATTGCACTTGCAGCTTATAGTCAGGAAAAATGCAAATTCAGGGCATAAGCATTGGGAAAGTACTTTAACATACACGGATCAGAAAGAGCACTTGTTCAGGTCGATGCAGGCTTCAAATAATCCGTATACCATATTTTGATCTTTAATCAAATTCAAAATGCAATCAAAATGCATGATTGGATTAACTGTTACCGGCACTTCACTCTTCAGTCTTCACTATAATATTCAATATACAACACAATAAAGCTGCTCATGCAGGCTTCACCATTTTTGGATACAGATTTTGGCAATTGATTTTTTATACAGTTTTTCCCTCATGGAAAGTTTCATCTGCACTGCATCTTTCAACATAAATGATCAAGGCATCGATGCACTCCATGAATGCTGCCAATCACTCTGCAGATTTCATGCTGCCAAGATTCAATTTGATATAGGCAATCACAACACTGCATGAGATATTCTGTACTCCTTTGGAACTAAAATGCTGTGGTGACAAACTGTGTGATGACGTCTCATGAGTCATGATGAATAAGAAATTCGATAATACAGGGATAAACTTGCTCCACAGCCTGCAGTTTTAAATCAATCAAATATAGATTTTTACAGATATATATGTGGTAGTGGAAAAAAAAGAAAAAAAACAAACGAAAAGCAAAAACATATCTGCCAGAAGCACACATACCAAGCGTCCTCCCACCAAGTCATAATGTGCATAATGCGGACCTTGAGGTTCTCCACAAACTTTATAGGTAACCAAATTTTCAGGAAAGAGCTTCACAGTTTCTGCATCAAGTTACAAGAAAGAAGCATTAAACATAAACAACTGTGAAACTGAGAACCATCTGAGGTAAAATGTGTGTATGTGTAACTACTTAGCTACAACCTACCTTCTACAGCTTCAGGTGGGCAAATCAGATCTCGATCCCCAGCAAGTGCCAACACAGGGACATTGCTCTTATGAATATGATCCTTGTAGAAAAATTTACCATTCCTATCACACAGTCCACCCTCTCGAAAAGCAGTTGTCAGCTGCAGGATGAGTTTGGCAGGTATGGTACCTACAAGTTGAAGCAAATCTCAATCACCATGCAGAACTAAAGGAATGATGACAGGAGAAAGATGGGGTTATTCTGCTTGTAATTAGCCATCATTTCCATTTATTAAAATATAAGCTCCATTAAGATCAATATTTTCAAATAAGCAAAATTCAACAGTTTCAAAACAACCTAAAGTTGAAAACAAAGTATCATATCTCATACAATGACATCAAGGAAATATCTCTACTTACAGAAATTGTTCAAGACAAGCTTTTTTAACAACTCTGGATGCATCATATCATCTGATGATATTAGATTATTAAGCCAAGCCAAGGCATAAGGAGGATGAGTTGATAGAGGATAAGTAGCTGATAATAATGCTCCTAAAGGAACAACAGGGACATTGAGAGCCTGGGCAGGATCCGCCTGTATAAAAGGTATCTTGATGTTAATTTTTCCCAACAAGGTCTGTTATGTTAAAATTATCTGTATATACTGAAGAAGTCGAATTAAAACAGAATTGAAGTCAATGCTTCTAATCCACTTACAAGAGGTAAGAGCAATTTGAGTGTCGATTTTGAAGATGTATAATCAAGTGATGATGCCAAAGTAACAACAGCAGCTAGTCTAGGCTGCTTCCCTTCATAACCTTAGGAGATGATACAGATGAAAAGATGAGAGGAGAAGTAAAAAGAAAGTAACTTCAAAAGATATGGAATATAAATAAATAAATGCATCATAAAAAGAGATCAAGTTTAATTCATCAGATATTTCCTCATAAAGCTAGTAGTTTGTAATCTGAAATTCAAAAAGATCTTAGTTTACGTTCATAATGAAATATTCAAAAGAAATTTCTAAAGACTTTGGAGAGGATCATATAGTCAAGAATTATCAAATGCATTTAAAAAATGCCTTTACAGTTCCCCTTGGTATTTAAAGTCGTTCTCAAACTAATCAATAGATACCAATGAGCAGGTGGAAATAATTTGATATGAAACACATGACAGGAGAATCTATCTTACCACAACGTGAAAGCATCGCATAAAGCAGGATGCCTCCCATGGAGTGACCAATTGCAAGCAATTTACCATCCTTTGGCCTGGTTTGTCCCCTTATGTATTCCATCTACATTGATAAATTTAAAGATTATTAATTCAACCAAGGGAGCAGTAGTATCCCAACTTCAAATTAGAAAAGGTATCAATGAGTAATAACATTCTATTTAGACAAATAAAATAAGAAGTAAACTCAAAATGAGTTGACATTTGTAATATTCTGGTATGATAAGATGTCACCTCACCGCTGTAGGAACATCTTCTTCCAGATAGTGATCAAAATCCCAATCATACTTCACAATCAAGTCAAGTTGTTTCTGGAAATCTTCTATTGTTGAAAAAAGGCGCTCTTGCATATCAAAGAACTGTGGTGAGACAGATCGCTGGCCTTCTTCAATAATATTTACAAGCCTTTGGCTGAGGTCCCCGATTTGGCCAGCAATAGATGAGTTTTGTTGTGTCTCCAGCAAACTGGAAAGCTTTGCCCTTACCTCATTAAACCGTTCAGATACTTGAGAATCTTCCAAAAGTTTTGATATCTGATCAAATAACTTAGCAGACATCATCTTCAGTTGACCTTCACTAAGAAAACCTGAGAGTCTCTCAGACAAACGCATAAAAGTTTCTGTTAACTTTGTTACCAGTTGTGATTCATCCCACACTGTTGCCATCCCTGTCAAGTCTTCTTTAAGAGAAGAAGGATTGGAATCTGACAAGCCAGCAGAAACATTAGCCAGCTGCTTTTCTCCTGAAGGAGTTCCATTGATGGCACTCTTGGCCACAGTTTCCATCTCCTCAGACACTGCATTAGCAGACTGCTGAATTTCTTCGAAATTTGAACCCTCCACACTCAATCCAGCACCACGAACTTCGAGAATCCAAGTGTCAAATCCTTGGCCAGACATGTATCTTGCAAATGAAGACTGCAAAAATATCAAGTATCATATTAGGAAACATTTGAAGCAAATATCTAGACATAAATACAATCATTAAGCAGATTTAAGCAATGCCTTAATAATCCTTTGCCTTATAAAAACAACATTTGCATTCCCAACTCTGCAAGAAATCATTAATTTAGCAAAGAACATGAAATCAACAAACTCCTTTAAAACACCTTTTATATTTGCAAAATGAAAGATTTCAATCCCACCTATTTTTTCCTTCAGTGGTAAAATAATAGGAATTTGAATATGATAATAGAATTAACATAGAAGGAATAAAATTACCCCTGGTGAGAGATCATATCCAATAGCATTAGTTCCCACTCCAGACAACAACAAGAGCGGATGATTTCTCGTAGGCGCCTATAAACCAATACGGTAAGATTATCACTTTGACCCCCAAAGAAAAAGAAATTAGCGAAAAGTTTGAGCAACTGACCTGAGGAGGAGGATTGTAACGCCAAAGAGCGAGGCGCCAATTAGAATTGGGCAAGGAGACATAGTGGAGCTCATCCGCCGTACAAATGGAAGGCTTCTCTGGAAGCTTAACAAGCGGTTCCTTGGAATCGGGGGAGAAAGATGTGGATGGAAGAAAGGAGGGGGAATAGGAGCGGAAGGCGCGACGGGGAGGGGCGACGCGTGGGAGGAGAAGGGAGGAGGGATTGAAGGAACGGATGGAGGAGGAAGCCAAGTGATGCCAAGCGGAGCGCATGTCGGATTGGATTTGGAATTGGAGAATTGAAGCCATTTTTGTTTGGGGGGCAGAGGCGAGGCCGCGAGAGCGATAATCGTCACTAATGCTTCGACATCTGCGGAGGCTGTGTCTTGTTGAATATGGAAAATATGGAAAATTGTAGTTGCTACAGCCAACAACCAAGTGAAAGCGAAGGAAATCTGCTTTTTATTTTTGTTTTTGTTTTTGTTTTTTTTATAGATAAAACGATATTTTTATTTGCTAGCAACTTTTTAACTTTATAACATTATATCTACTATTGTTAGTTTTTTTTTATGTTGATTGCATGATGAGAGATATTTTTTTTTTCATTTTTTATTTTATCTATGTATATATTATGTGATTTAAATTTATGATTTTTTACTTTAAATAAAAAAATATTATCATTAGTTATTTAAGTTGTTAGTTACTTTTATTAAATTAAAATTACTAGGTAGTCAAATTCTTACAATTAATTTAACATGAATATTATAAATATAATATTATGTAAAATTATACAATAAATTTATAATTATAATATTATTAAATAAATATGATATATTATTAAATGAATAAATATATATTATTATAATTAAATTTTAAATTAAAAACAATTATATTATAATATATTATAATTTAAATTTAAAATATCCATAATATTATAACTATATTATTTTTTATTAATTTAAAATCAAAATTACTTATAAAATTATATCATATAATCTCATTTAATAATTCACTTCTTTTTTACTTTATTAATTATTAATGCATGTAAAAGGTGCACCATCTTTACCTAAAAAAAAGATTTTAGTACATAACTATTATTCCGGTTTTGTTTTTACATTATCCTATTTTTACTTCATTTTCAGTTAAGTATTAGTAAAAAAAAATGTTAGTTTATCCAAAAACCGTCACAAACAGGTTTTTTTTTTTTTTTTTCCGAAAATTTCAGAGATATTTTTTTATTTCATTTCATTAAATTATTTATACTTCTTATGATGGCCTAATAAAAATTTTTTCACAAAAGAAAACAAATTCAGCCCACTATGAATATCCCATTATGGCACAATCTAATCCACTAGTCAATTGGGTCAACAAACTCATCAAGATTTTTTGTGGGCCGACTCCAAATCACCAAGTTCCTCTCTTTCTTTTCTTTTCGACTTGAATCTCTGTCGCCTGAACCTGAAGCAAGCTACCGAGCAGAAGAACCTCAAGTAGCGTTGGCCGCCCCGCCCCTCTTACGTACCCAACCATACCCAGGAACTCTCTTCTTCTCATTTTCAATTCCCTTTCTTCTTTTCGGCCCCCCCTCCCTCAAAAAAAATGTCTGTTAATGGTAAAGTAGAAGCCAAAAGAGCGTTCATAGGTGCTGGTTGCAACAGAATAGTGAACAACGTTTCATGGGGTGCCTGTGATTTGGTCTCCTATGGTGCCCAAAACGCTGTCGCTGTTTTCTCCCCAAAGGTACTGGCTTTTCTTTATCTTATGCGTATTGCTCTTCTGTTTCTACTTTTATTGATCAAGCTTCCTTTTGTTCTCTTCAGTCTGCTCAGATTTTGACAACACTTCCTGGCCACAATGCTTCTGTCAACTGCACACACTGGCTTCCAAGTAGCAAGTTTGCATTCAGAGGTAGTTCTTAGCAGCAACCAAATGGTGCTTAAACCCTTTTGATTTCAACCGAATTGATGGTTTTGTTATGGGGATAATGATGAACATGATTGTCTGTTATTACAGCAAAACACTTGGACCGTCATTATCTACTGTCTGGAGATGCTGATGGGGCCATTATTCTATGGGAACTCTCTCTTTCTGAAAATAAGGTACCTAGCCTTTCTTAGATTTGCAAAAACATAGTAATTTTCTCTTTTAGAAGCTTAAAATGGCTTAATAGATGCTTTGAGATTTAATATTTGTTTGACAGGTCTACATGTGCTTTTGGATCTTAATACTTGTTTATGCAAGGTTTGGTTGAGGGATTTTCTTTTGAAAATTCCATAAGGAATTGTTTTGTATCTTCTTTTCTTTGCCCTTGTCTACAGTGGAGGCATGTGTTACAATTACCACAATCTCACAAGAAGGGTGTTACATGCATCACCGGATTTATGGTTTCTGAGAGTGATGCTATATTTGCATCTTCTTCTTCTGATGGTGCTGTTTGCATATGGGATGTAGTCTTCCCTTCTTTTCCTGGAGGTGAGTTAAACGTTTAATGGACTTTATTATGAATTGTGACCCTCTTGCTTTTGCGGTTGTTAAATCTAAGGTTATGGAAACCCCAATGTCTGCCATAGGTGACTGCCTATTGTCGTGTCTGGAAACTCTTTCTGTGGGCTCAAGACCTATGGTGGCACTTTCATTGGCAGAATTGCCTGGAAATGCTGGGCATATAACCCTGGCAATGGGGGGATTGGATAACAAAATTTATCTTTATTGTGGGCAGAGGACAGGCAAGGTAACCAATCTCTGCATATGTAATCTTATATTTTCTTGCATTGATATTATTCACTCAAGTCAAACCTTAGTAACTAACCCATCTATGCTTTTAACTTGAAAACTAGTTAGAATCCATCTTGTCTGTAACCCATCCAGCCTACGGCTATACTTTCTTAAAGGTGCTAAGACCAAATATTTCCTGACCACCTCAACTCACGTGATTCTTAGTCTCCCTTAAAATTTTCTGTGTTCTAAAATTAGTCTGACATTGTTTTTGTGCATGCATCCAGTTTGTTCGTGTTTGTGAATTAAAAGGGCATACAGATTGGATCAGGAGTTTGGACTTCTCATTACCTATATGCAATAGCGGTGAAGCCAATACTGTGCTACTTGTTAGTTCATCTCAGGACAAAGGTATACGTATATGGAAGATCAGTCTACGAGGTTCTCTAGCTAGTGCCAATGGTACAAGCAGGAAAAATGAGATTAGCTTGGCTTCTTATATTGAGGGCCCTGTTTTTATAGCTGGCTCATCCTCCTATCAGATATCTCTAGAATCTCTTCTAATTGGGCATGAGGATTGGGTCTATTCAGTGCAGTGGCAACCCCCTTTGGCAGCACCCAACACAGGGATTGCCTTCTATCAACCCCAAAGCATTTTGTCTGCAGCAATGGACAAGACAATGATGATTTGGCAACCTGAGAGGAAAACTGGTATCTGGATGAATGTGGTCACTGTTGGAGAACTAAGTCATTGTGCTTTGGGGTTTTATGGTGGCCACTGGAGCCCATATGGGCAGGCAATTTTGGCTCATGCATATGGCGGATCATTCCATCTTTGGAGAAATGTTGGAGTCAACTCAGATAATTGGCAACCACAGAAAGTCCCCTCTGGGCATTTTGCAGCTGTGACAGATATTGCATGGGCAAGGTCTGGTGAATATCTGTTGTCTGTCAGTCATGATCAGGTAAATTGTGTAGCTCATATTTTGATGAACAGTTTGCCACTTGTTGAGCATCTCAGTGTTTCAAAGACTTCAGATACATATGCTTTTTCATTCTATTTTATTTAAGTGATTTGCTTTTACAATAACCTCTATGTCTGAGAAATTTAGTATCACTTATGCGCCTGTAAGTTTTCCTTTTGTCAACTTGCAGTGCATCTCCAGAAAGTTTTTCATGGGTGAGTCTATACATGAGATTATGCCCCAAGGGTACATCAGTGGAAATGTTATGTTCATAATGTCATATTTATAAAATATGGGATGTTTACTGCATGATCGAGTCTCTTGTTTGCATACTCTAATGCAAATAGTACTAGTCTTTTGTTTTCAGATGGAAACATCAAGTTGAACATGTTAATCTCTAGTTTATTTATTTCAGATAATTGATGGATTAAGATATTTGTACACATTGCTTTGAAATTTGTACACATTGCTTTGAAATTTTCACATTATTGAATGGATGTATTGATATGACCATAAATAATTGCAGACAACTCGTATTTTTGCTTCGTGGAAAAATCAAGCATCTGATTCTGATGGAGATTCCTGGTATGAAATTGCCCGTCCTCAAGTCCATGGCCATGATATTAATTGTGTGACAATCATCCTTGGAAAAGGGAACCATCGTTTTGTGAGTGGAGCTGAGGAGAAAGTTGCCAGAGTGTTTGAGGCTCCTTTATCTTTTCTTAAGACACTGCATCATGCTACTTTAGAACAAAATAGTTTTCCTGAAGACTTTCAAGCAGACGTTCAGGTGCTGGGGGCAAATATGTCTGCACTTGGGCTGTCACAGAAACCTATTTATGTAAATGGTGAGTCTCTTTCCAATATAACAAGACAGTATATGTTTCCAAGACAACGATACTATGCATGTAACACTTAAAAGTCCAAAGGAGTGATGCCATTAAACCCTTAAAATGGAAACTTGTTTAATCTCTCTGAATCCTACCCAAGCTAACGTCTGCTCCTCAAAGGGAGAAAAAAAAAATTAAGTATTCCAGTTGATCTTCTTATTAAAGAATTTCCTGATCCACAATTCGTTTCTTTGGTGATTTTCTTGCTTGCCTTGTTACATGGAAAGATCTAAGTTTATCAATAGCTATCAACTTACAAATCATTTAACCATAAAATTTTCTTTTCTTTGCAGCTACCATTGAGACCTCAGGTAGAAATGGAAATGATGACCTTGACACCCTGGAATCCATTCCAGATGCAGTTCCAGTTGTGTTAACAGAACCTCCTATTGAGGATCAATTGGCATGCCATACACTATGGCCAGAGTCACACAAACTCTATGGTCATGGGAATGAGCTATTTTCTTTATGCTGCAGCCATGAGGGGAACCTTGTGGCTTCATCATGTAAGGTATATGATGCCTTTTTTTACTGTTTAGCTTATCAAGAAGTTCAATTTAATGACTAAATTGCTGTTAAGATTAAGAATTTTCATATTCTCCATTAATTGCACCTTGGCATACTTACTGCTCCATTTTTGTTTTCATTCACCATTTTCCCCCTCCCTTGTCACTTGTTTCTTTGGTTTGGCATCAATTATTAGTCAGGAATGGATTACATAATCAAATTTTCAGAGTACTTGTTATTTTCAAAAACATGAAGTGGATAAACTAGTGGACAATTACCTTGCTAGAGGATAAGCATGCATTTGTTTTGGGGGCACAGATCGTTTTATCAGATGAACAAAATTTACCCCTTGCTCATTTCTTGAGTCCAAGTAAATTTTACTACTTTCTTTGGTTTAAGAAATGGCTTTATTACTTGTTTACATCTAATCTAAAAGTAAGGATCTTATATCTATTTTTTTCCAATAATGTTTACAAGTGACACTGGAGAAATGAAATTCCACCATGTTACATTCATCTGGGAGAAAATATTTATTGAAAACATGATGGAGATGATATGAAACTGTTTGAAATGTCAAGAGATACCAGTGATGTTAAAATGTTTGCTTCCATGCTTGCAGAAGAAATGAGCTCGAAACTAAATTCCCTCTCTGTCAATTAATATGTATCCTGCAGGCCCAGTCAGCAACAGTGGCTGAAATATGGTTATGGCAAGTGGGTTCATGGAAGGCGGTTGGTCGTTTGCAGTCTCACAGCTTAACAGTAACGCAGATGCAATTCTCTCATGATGACAATCTTCTTTTGACTGTCTCAAGGGATCGCCAATTCTCCATCTTTACAATCAATCAAACAGGTACATCAACCTCTTGCCACTTGTGTGATATAGAATTGTGAGGTGCTACTTTCTACTTTTCAGTTGAACTGCAAAAGTATGTGTCTCAACTTCTTTAATGTAGTCATATGATCATCAAATAAGTTGGGGAGCAGGAAATAACCAATTTCCCACTTTTGGTTCTGCATGCTCTGTGATTCAGTGGATAACTATGAAACTCAGGGTGAACTGAACATAGGCAGTTTTTGGGATCCCTAATTGAGTATTTTGCCTGTCATTGTTGCTGACCCTGCATGACTGAATTGCTCTCATAATTTTTATTCTCTGAACAAATTTTATGATTATTAATCTTGCACTTATCTGATTTTTTAGGAACAGGAGATGTAAATTTCAATCTTTTAGCAAGGCAAGAAGCACACAAAAGAATCATATGGGCTTGTTCTTGGAATCCATTTGGCCATGAGTTTGCAACCGGTTCAAGGGACAAGACAGTGAAGATATGGGTTGTTGAAAAAGAATTTTCAGTTAAGCAGATTCAAACTTTACCACAGTTTAATAGCAGCATCACTGCCTTATCTTGGATAGGTCTTGATTGTCAGCAAAATCACGGGCTTCTAGCAGTTGGAATGGAAAATGGACTCATTGAACTATGGAATCTTAGCATCAAAAGAACCAATGATGGCAGCACTACACTACCAGCCTGTACTGCTGCTATTGCTATACAGTTTGATTCATTCATCTGCCACGTTTCTGCAGTTAACCGTTTGGCCTGGAGAAACAGTGAGAAAAGTGAAAATTGTACAAGCATGCAGCTAGCTTCTTGTGGAGCCGATCATTGCGTGAGATTGTTTGAGGTCACTGTTGGCTAATCAGATAATCATCTATCCATCTATAGACAAAACTATTTTTCAAGCCCATACGTGTATAATATGCTGATTCTTATAAGATTGCCTTCCTTTTCTCTCTTTGTGGGTTTCGACAGACTTATATTCCCTTCGACTTTAGGCCTTAGGACAAGGACCTCCCCCACCCCCGCCCCTCCTTTTCCATTTTCCTCTGATGAATGGATGTATTGCTTTATGGTGGACCCCGTCAGTCCACGGATAAATGGTTAGCGTTTTGACTGGGGGCAACAAAGCTACCATTTGTGATGAATATCTCTTTTGCATGTGACCCAAGTGACCACATTTTTCCGTGTGAGAAGCAATGTGGAGCGCAATACATGATCATTAGGTCAACTCTTCGACCGGTATTCGAACAGGTACTAACTTATTAACCATATTTTTTACAGTCAAAAAAAATATCTCTTTTTCTTTGACAATCCTCTATACTTCAATTAAAGTAGAGGAGGCACCAACTTGCTGAGACACATGGGAGGAGGAAGTACCTCAGTGCACATGTAGTCACAGGTTGAAGATAGCATGTGGCATATTCTTTTTTTCCAGGTGATGGCCTGGTCAGGGTCGTGGTTTATGCCTTTGAAGTTTGAGAGCATCAAAGGTTAGACCTTTATCATTTTTGATTGAGAAGAGGCCATATGGAACAGAAGGATTCTTCTTTCGGAGAACAAATGTGTAACGGCATTTCCCTGGTTCACACGCCTTGCGTTAATACCCAACCAGTGATTCGAGTCATTTTCAGACATTGCTTCCATTGGATGTGTGTTTTTGTCCTCTCTTCAACAAAGAAAGGTAAACACTATAATGATTTGCCTTCCCTGTATAAGCCCTTTTCTCCTGTGGCATTCAATATGTAGAGAAAGGAAGCCTCCTCACTAACAAAGATTTCAACAATGTTATGATAACCTTATTCTTATTAACTCACTGAAATTTTGAAAAGCTTAATGAAAATGATTTATGGTCAATTCTTTGTGTATAATTTTTTTTATACATGTTTTTAATAATGTATTCTTTTTATTCTATTAAGACTCAAGATATATATTTTTTGATATATTAGATAATAAATTATGCAACAAGAATAGTTCCCTTGTTTCTAAATTTATCTCTATTTATCTCAAAATTTAAATTTAAAATTTTTAATATAAAAAATCAAATTCTTAACATTATATAGATACATAAAAATTATAAATAAACTATCTGTACATCATTACTTAAGTTTAATTATTAGAAGATTGAAAACCTTTCTAAACATGCAAGTATGCAACATCAAAATTAGGTGGTGAGATGAGGTGGGGCGGTTGCTGAGCGGAAAGTGACTCAAATGGAATAGCTCCCTTGTTTCTAAATTTATTTCTATTTATCTCAAAATTTAAATTTAAAATTTTTAATGTAAAAATTTAAATTCTTAACATTATATAGGTACATAAAAATTATAAATAAATTATCTATACATCATTACTTGAGTTTAATTATTAAAAGATTGAAAATCTGCTAAACATGCAAGTGTGCAACATCAAAATTAGGTGGTGAGATGAAGTGGGGCGGTTGCTGAGTGGAAAGTGACTCAAATGGTACTAGTATTTCACGTTTTGCTTTAATCATGCAACAGAAGGCTTAAACCTCGTACATTAATAGCATAAATTAACACACAAACAAAAGCACTGTGTCACGTGAAAGCGTAAAATGCTGCTACTCTACTATGATGGTGTTTTGTCAAATAACAGGTCAAAATTAGTTCTGATCAATGATGAGGTTATGAATTTTTTAAAAATTTCTGGGTTTAGAAAAGAATAGATGCCAATGCAAAACTGCAAGCAAACCCACTGTTTTTATTTTTAGGAGAAAAGTGATGCCGTATTCACAGAATCAAAACCATGGATTGGATGGACAAGGGAAATCTTCAATGCCCCAACTTTGAAAGTTTAGACTATGCTGCACGGTTGTTATTTCATTTGTATGATGGAAGTTTGGAGTCTACTCCACTCATAAAATAATGGTAGCAACTTTTTTAGGAAAAGAAATTATATTCAAAAGTTATACAGTATATATAGGTTGTCTGAAACTCCAAGTCTCCAACACAATATCTTCTTTCGTTTTAATGCCGTATAAATCACATCTTGAACCTCTAAGTTTCAAAGGAAGAATTATCACTTAATGACCTACATCATTGGACCTTTTTTGGAACAGGGTTACATGTTTGGGGGGATTTTTGGGAGAGGGGAGGACTTGAATCCAAGTCTAATAAGAAACTTAACGTGAGGAATGACCACTTGCTCTATTCAGAATTTTTGACTTACATCATTTGATTTTAAGAAACTTTGGATCCAATATATTAATGCATTTAAGTTTTTATTATTTATTATTATTTTAAATTATATAATAAGAAGCAACATTGTCACTATTTCCTTTATTTATTCAACCCATCTGCCTATGAGGCTATGACTTGAGCAGTTGAGCTCAATATATATTCACTTTCATTAAAAAGGAGATTCCCGCTAACTGCTTGGGTTATAGGCACCATTTAAATTATTTAACCCCAAAACAAAAACCAGTTTGTAATTTTGAAGTATATGGATATGGCAGGAAATGAGCAGAGATCGGAGGATTATGTAAATGGGTATTTTTCATAGAAATACGGAATTGGAATGCAACCTATCAAGTATCTAGAGTTCTAGACAGTGAGAGTTGGTGCAATGGGGCCTAAGAAACCAAGATCAACGTTCTCATCAGATGAAAGAGAATTTGTAATTGGTTGAAAAAGAAACCAATTGTACCGATTCTGATATAATGCAATTTAGGAAAATCATAGCAAGCGCAACCCCTGCAGAAGAGAATTCAAGGGATCTCATTATTTCAAACAAAAATAATGTTTTTAAGGCCATTGCATTCAGAAGTGAATTCAAGAGTCCATTGACGTCGATTTTTTTTGCATCATTAAAATTTGCATACTCCCCTCAAGTTTTTTCCCCTGAAGAAACTGGTTGTCTGCATACTGAATACCACACAAATCATGAACTAATAACAGATTACCAAACCATTAACTCAAAATCTTTGCTCTGTGTATAACCATTATTCAGAAACTGACACTAACTGCAGACTCCCCGCCAGACATTTGAGTTCAAACTTTTGCAGTATTATCTCCTGATCATTTTCCATCTCCTACGGCAACAAGAACAAGATGACATATAAGGAAGACTAAAAGACCACTGAGTTCCTTATTATCTAATCACAAGTACATACCACAAACCAATACTTATAATTTATACCAAGATACTAAAACAGAAAATTTGAAAATGTAAACCAAACCGTTGCCCCAAGCCAAAATTGTTGTTCATTCCTAATTGACCAATTTATATTGGTTGTGAAGTTCTGATTTGCTGCTTGATGTTGTCAGTTGTAATTGGAGAAGAAGTTTCTGGCAACACCACTCCTGCAGCTGCAGTCATTGTTTGATACTGAGAAGGCATCGTTGGAGCCAGAGGCTGAGTATAGTATATCTGCGCATGGGCATGAGCAGGATCTGCATACTCATATGCATAAGCAGCAGTTGTGGTTGAGGTAGGAGCAACGGACTGTGATGGATGATGAATCTGGGAGTAACCAACATATTGTTGCTGATGCTGACTGGCTGACACTTGAACCAGTTGCGGAGCACCAGCATTTGTTGTTCTGTACACTCCTGCAGCGGCTGCAATTTCAGGCTTAGCAATTGGAGCACTTCTCACAGGGTTGTAAGCTGCTGGAGGAGCCATTGAAGGATTTGGAGGAGTCTGAGGGTGGCTAGATCGGATTGTAGTAGGAGCTTCACTCATACCAGATTGCTGCATAGGAAAGTTATAAGCTTGGGGTTGCCCCGCAGGTACATAGTACACTGGATACTGCTGATCAATCTGAGGGTGCTGGTGATGGTGAGGTTGCTGTTGAGAAGGAGGGTAAACGGGATAGTAAGCCGAGATTGGCACTGCCCCTGAGGGGTGATGGTGAATGTAATGTGTACCAGCATGTAGGAATTGCTGCTGTGGTTGCTGTGGTTGTTGTGGTTGTTGCTGCTCAAATTGGTGTGGTTGCAAGACATAACCAGAATCCTGAACCTGTTGCTGTATCTGGATGCGGGTGTTTGTGTTCGGATCAGAGATGTTAACCTTTGGTTCAACTGGGTTAGCAGGAACCCTGCTGGCTCCAGAGGGGATTTGAACAACTGAGTCTTGATAAAGTACGGGTTTTGGCCGAGACAATGGATTGGTAATACCACTCTCACTGAGGAATTAAAACAAACACAAAAACTCCCAAATCAGCTACCTGATCATGCTTGTCAAATTCAAAACATTTTTACTTATAGAGATAGACAGAGCACTAAAATAAGCACAGGATATAAATTGTGTGCAATCAACATAGTACCTTGAGACTGAATCTGGGGAAGCCAAATCAAGACCGCCACTTGACTTCTGTTGATTCTGCAAAGGTAAAACCTGAGCCTGTGACTGTGGAGCCCGTGGCCTTCTGTACCCTACAGGAGCCCCATGATCGGATCTTTCATCCTCGGAGAAAACCCGATTCTGATACTCCTGAGAAACCCCCACGGAATTCAAAGGCAGACCACCAGACATAACTAGAGTTGTAGGCATCGGGGGCGGCGATGACAAAACAACAAAACCCTCATCTAGCTGCTTGTGCCCACCACTATTCACGGTAATCTGAGCAAATTGCTCCTCAATCCCCACCACCTTTTGATCATGTTGCAACCTCAACCTCTCACCCACACTGCCATCATCCTCCCGGACTCGAATCGGCGGCAAATTGGCCAGGGAAGGCGAGGACGAAGCAGAGCCAAAAGAGGAGGTAGTTTCCAGCATGGGAGAATCGGGTACGGAGTGCACATCCTGATTCCCCTGCTGCTTGAAATTCATATTCTTCTGACTACCATTCCCCTCCACATCTCTTGCACCCGACTCAACACTCCCCTGCCGGTTATCGTCTAAACCCAGCAAGCAATTCACAGTCACAGAATCAGAGAACCCTCTGTTGAGCAACCCCGCTCCATTCAACGCGTCGAGGAACCACTCGTCAGACTTGGAGGAATTATTGATGATCGGGCCAATCGAATGGGAGGACGGCGGTGCCCCCTCGGAATTGACGGGAAACAGAAAGAGGCGGATGCGGGAGGATTTGCTAGTGGTGGTAGTGGCAGAGCAGGTCCGGTCATACTCATCGATCATATTCTCCAGGTCCTCGTCGGTCGTAACAGAGATGAGAGAATCGAGCTCCTCCGACGGCAGCTGGTATTTGAGAGTAAAAGGCTGGCCGTGGAGGAGAGAGACGGATAGCCGGTGTTGGAGAGAAACGAGAGAAGTGTGACGGTCCACCACAACCATGCGGGTCTCACCGCCCACGTAGCACAGCACCTTGTCGTGGGGACGAGGCACGATTGTACCCCCGTAGCTGCTGATGAGCCGGAGCTTCGAGTGGAGAGTGGGCGGCGGCGCGGCGTCGTCCCATGAATCTGTGTTCCGCGAACGAGGAGAGGAATCGAAAGAGTCTGCGTAGGTGGCCGCGACAGAAACGGCGACGGACGTGGTAACCGGGATAGGTGATGCAGCTGGCGGAGCAGGAGGCGGGGGTTCCATTAGGTGGGCCCTGTTCTCACACCTTGGGCGTCTGGTGATTATATGGCGAGAGATCGTGAAAGAAAGAGAGGGATTTGCGATGCTCTTGTAGTTGTGGGTAGCCGCTTCGATCCAGCTGCTATTATTTTATATTATTTTATTTTATTACTTAGTTTGGATGTTTATTTTTTAAATAAATTTAATTTATTTTTTAATTTTTTATATATAATTTTAAATAAAAATTTAATCATTTATATAAATAATA